TGGACACTGAAATTTTAAATATCATTTACAATCACTCAAAAAAGAGTGAAATACTTAGGTATAAATCTAGCACACAGGATTTGTATGCTACAAAGCATTGATGAAACAATGAAAGCTACAAAGCACTGGTGAAACAAGTCAAAGGAGATCTAGATAAATGGTGTCAGATACTGTGTTCATGGACTGGAAGACCAAGTGAAGCAAATTTGTCAATTCTCCCTGAGTTGATATAAAAATTTAATGCAATTCCTATAAAAATCCCAACAACATTTTTTAATGGCCACCAATCCAGATCGACCAACAATATTTTTTAGACATACATATCATTCTAAAATTTGTATGGAAAGGCAAAGGAACTAGAATAACTAAAACAATTTTGATGAAAAAATAAAGTGGGATAAATCAGGCTACCTGATTTCAAGATTATATAGTTACAGCAATCAAGACTGCAGTACAAGTTGAATATTCCTTATCTGAAATGCTTGGGATCAGAAGTGTTTCAGGTTTCAGATTTTTTTTTAGTTTGAAATATTTATACATACACAATGAGATATCTTGAGGATAAGATCGAAGTTTAAATACAAAGTTCATTTATGTTTCATATACACTTTATACATATAGACTGATGGTAATTTTATAAAATATTTTTAATAATTTCAGCATGACACAAAGTGTGAGTACACTGAACTATCAGAAAGCAAAGGTGTTAACACCTCAGCCACCCATGTGGATGATCTGTGATTGTTTGGCATCACCATCATTCCTGATTCTGAATTTATGTGCTACCAATAAACAATCATTTTCTTACACTTATTCACACATAAGTACTTAACAGTAAAAAATATGACATACAAGCATGTCAAAAATACTGTGCTGACTCACTTAACCTGAATACATAAAAAAAAAAAAAATTCAAGTTAAGTGAGTTAGCACAGTAGTGTCACCAGAATACCTGTATCAGCTGTCAAGCAACAGCAACAACGAATAACAGTAGGCTTTCAGTTTCCAAGTAGAATGCTGTGTTTTGACTAAAAGGTTACTGTACACTGTATTTTATTTTATTTTTAGGTGAGAAGCAGCATCAGAAGCAGTTGAGGGACCAAGAAGTGGGTCCTGTAGAGATGAGGAAGCATTCTGTTGGATGGTTTTTTTAAATGTTTCTTTCAGAGTCATCGGCTTCATTAATGATGCTTTTTGTCTGAGAAGTCTCTCTTTGATTTTATAAAGTGACATGATTTCTTGTTCTGTTATGAATGCATGCTGCTCTAGTCCTTCAATTAGACCATCACACATTTTTACCATGTCGTCTACAGGCACTTTTTCTGCAGTGTCACCATCATCTTCATCATGATCATCTTGATTCAGAACCATTTTTGTTACTTCACCATTGGACAATGAATGAACAACTGGAGCCTCATTATTACTGTTAAAAACATCTTTGATATCCTCTTCTCCCAGCTTGCTGACAGTCTCTGGATGTATATTTTTTGTATACGTTAGGAGGTCAGACATTATTTTTTTCTCATTTGACATATGGAATCCTTCAAAGTCACCATCTTGTTTGTCATTATTACTGAACTTGTCAGTGAATTTCTTTGCTGCTTTATGACAAGCCGATGCTTTATCACCACAAATCTTTAAAAATGTAATGCCGTGTCTTTTCTTAAATTTCTGCAACCAGCCTGTTGAATATTCACAGTTCCCCTCAATTTTTAGTTCATTGTGATAGATCTTTGCTTGTTTCATGATCAGCATACCATTAAGTGGCATGTGTTCACTGCGACGCTGACGAATCCACTCTTTCAATACACGATCAAGATCTTCGTTTTTAGCTTTATGAAGTGTTTTTCTATTTTTCATTAATATCTGCTCATCACTTTCGGCATAAAACTTTAACAGTTTATCCTTCTGTTTCTTCAGGTCATATATAGTGGTCATTCCAACACCATACTCTTCTGTAAGATGTTTCACACTTACACCACTGTCCAGTTTTTCCAACAACTTGACTTTCTGTGCTATAGATAAACATAAATGCTTCCTCTTTTTCTTATCACTGATATTCACAGGGTTATCTTCAGATCTTTTTGACATTTTCAACAATATATTTACACCACACAGCAGAGAATATGCAAAAAAATGCAATGAGTAATGCACATAGGTCTTGTCCCGATGTGGAGCATTGTGGGAAACCTGTTGTTAGTGTGTCCAGCCTGCACACATGCCATTTAATTACTCTTTGTGGGGATGCATGGGGAAATCCAGGTGTGGGCAGAAAAACTGTAGCAGAAATGAGCTGGGAGGGTCTTTTTTTCATTGGGGATGTTGTGTAAACTGTGTGTTGTGCATCTGTGTTTTGATTGCAACTCACATAACATCAGGTATGAAATTTTCCACTTGTGGCACAATGTCAGCACTCAAAAAGTAAAGGATTTTGGAGCATTTCAGATTTCAGATTTTTAGATTAAGGATGCTCAACCTGTATTGGTAGAGGAATAAATACATAGATCAATGTAACAGAATACAGAAACCGGAAACAGGATCATGCAAATATGTCCAGTTGGTTTTGAAAAAGGTATAAAAACAATTCAATGGAGAAAACATAGCCTTTTGAACAAATGGTGTTGGTGCAATGTAACATGCATATGCAAATAAACAAAAAAGAACAACAGCAACAACTACCAAAGTTTTACACCTGTTTTAAAAATTAACTCAAAATGTATCATACATTTAAATGTAAAATAAAAAATCTTATAAAAAATAGACACGAGAAGGTCTTCGGGATCTAAGGCTGGGCCGGGTCCTTATCTGGGCCAGATGCTTTTTTTTTTTATTAAATCAAAAGCATAATCAATAAAAGGAGAAGTGGATAAATTGGACCTTATCACAATGACAAACTTTTGCTTTTCAAAAGATACTGTTAAGACGATGAAAATACAAACCATACACTGTGAGAAACTATTTACAATGAACATATTTGACAAAGGGCTAATATCTAGACTATATAAAGACATCTCAAAACTCAACAACACACAAAAAAATTAGCAAATGGACAAAAGACATGAACAGACATTTCACTGAAGGGAATATACACATGGAAAATAAGCACATGAAAAGATGTCTAACATCATTAGTCAATAGGGAAACACAAATTAAAATCACAATAAGATACTACCACACACCTATTAGAATGGCTAAAATAAAAGCTAATGCTAATGAGGATGCAGAGAAACTGGATCATTCATACTGGCGGTGAGTATGTAAAATGGTATAACTGCTCTGGAAAGCATTCTGGCAGCTTCTTAAAAAAAGAAACATGTAACTAACATGCAACCCAGCAACTGCACTCCTGGGCATTTATTCTGGAGAAGTGAAAACTTACGTTCCCACAAAAACCTGTACACAAATGTTTACAGTACCTTTACTCAGAATATCTTAAAACTGGAAACAACCCAGGTGTTCTTCAGCGAGTAAATGGCTAAACAAATTGTGATACATTCAAACTATGGACTACTACTCATTAAAAGAAATAAACTATTGATACATGCAACACTTGGATGAGTCTCCAGAGAATTATGCTGAGTGAAAAAAAATTCTAAAAGGTTGCATACCATATGATTCCATCCATACAATACAGATGTTTGCCAGGGATTAAGAAACAGTGTAACTACAAAGAGCAATATGAGGGAACCTTGTGGTGATGGAAATGTTCTGCATCTTGACTGTATCAATGTCAGTATCCTGGTTGTGATATTGTACTACAGTTTTGCAAGGTGTTTCCATTGGGGGAAGCTGGGTAAAGCGTACATATAATCTGTCTGTATTATTCCTTACAACTGCGTAAGTCTCCAATTTTCTCAAATAAAACATTTGTTTTATTTGAGAAAATATTACACATGTGGTTTCTCTTGTCTAAACCCTAATTTAAGTGCTTCATCAAACTGGAAAATTTCTCTTCTATTCCTAGTTTGGTGAGTATTTTGGTCAGAAGAGGTGTTTATTTTTGCCAACAGATTTATCTGTATGTATAATCGTAGCTTTTCTTTTCTTAATTATTTTTGTTTTATTATTTCTTCCAATGAAGGCTTTTCTCTTTTAAGGTAAATCATATTGTTTGATTTTAGAATGCAAAACCAATCTTGCATTCCCGGGATAAACCCTACTTCATCATGATGTGTTAATCCTTTTAGAAATTGCTGGATTTGGTTTGCTAATATTTACTTAGGATCTTTATGTCTACGTTTATTAAATGTTTTCCAGACACCTATGGTGTCTGAAAACTCCTCAGTAAAAGTTCATTGAATTAATTCAGGCTTGTTTAAATGATCCTCCAAGAGCAACACAGCTGATGCTGTGGTCCAGTCACTCCCTCAGGGCCTAGACAGTCATTCCCTCAGCTTCTGGAGTTGGTTGCTGATGATTCATAACTGAGTCCTTCTCTGGGGTCCGCCCTCCACCAAGGGACGCAGTCTCACCAAAACCCCCCCCCTCAAAAAAAAACAAAAGAAAAAAACCAAAAAATTCACATCGCCTCCCCAGGTGTAGCCTGTATCCACCATGACTGACCAATGCAAGGATATGAGTTTCTGGCCTCCTTGCTTTAATTTGGAACTACTCTGAAGGGTCATCCTAGGCTCAGAGCATCACTTGAGATTGGTCAAGGCCTCTGCTGCAACTGCTTTTGCAGGCTTCTCCCTCTGCCTACAAATTCTTGCTTCCTTCACTTTCTTATAGGTGCTGATCTTGAAGTTCTGCTTACCCCCACAAACAATCTTGTAGGAAAGCTAATCACCCTCTTGCATCCCCCAGGGGCTCAACCCAGGACACACACGTTACCCTGTTTTATTTTTATTTTCATAGCACTTAACACCTTATAAGTGAAATAACCTTATTTACTTAACACTTACTTATCGTCTGCTGTAAGAATGTAAGCTTACCAGGACAGATCTTTCTCGTACGCTACGCAACGCTGTGTCCAGCGCCTACAGCACGCACTGCAGAACATAGGAGGCACTGAATACTGGTTGTTGAATGAATGGATGAGGCCTACCCTGAGTTGGGTCGTGGGATCACACAGCCCCCTCTTCCACCTTTTGACACGAACCTGGGAGCCGCGGCTCAGGGTGCACCCCTGCGTCCCCGCCCCTCAAGCCACGCCCCAGGCTCAAGCAGAGGGCGGGGCCCCGCGGACACAGCGGTGGACGCGATGCAGCAACCGGCTCTTCGGCTGGTGCGTCTGGGTCGGGTCCCGTACACCGAGCTGCTGGGGCTGCAGGACCGCTGGTTGCGGCGGCTACAGACCGAAGTAGGCACTGAGGGCCTGTCGGGGACTGAGGCGGGCGCACTCCTGCTCTGCGAGCCCGCGGGGCCCGTGTACACTACCGGACTGCGCGGCGGCCTCACGCCCGAGGAAATTGCGCGGCTACAGGCCTTAGGCGCCGAGGTGCGCGTCACAGGCCGCGGCGGCCTGGCCACCTTCCACGGCCCAGGCCAGCTGCTCTGCCACCCGGTGCTCGACCTGCGGCGCTTCGGCCTGCGCTTGCGCAAGCACGTAGCGGCGCTGGAGGCGTGCGCAGTGCGCTTGTGCGAGCTCCAGGGCCTGCAGGGCGCCCGCGCGCGGCCCCCGCCCTACACCGGAGTCTGGCTGGACGAGCGCAAGATCTGCGCGATTGGTGAGCGCCGTGAGGCGGGGCGGGACCTGAGAGCCAGGGGCGTAGCTTGAGGCCTGGGGGCGGGGTCTGACGGGACTGGACCAAAGGAGGCGAGGGTAGAGCTCGAGCCGGGGGGAGACGTATCTAGCGCGGGCTTTGAATTACAACTACCCGCTGCGTTTCAGTTTGTTTGTTTGTTTGTTTTTGTTTTTACCACAGAAAACTCACTGAAGCGTTTGAGTTTTTAAGCTTCTTCACAGATATCTTATATTCAGAGGCAGAAGGCTCCTCTCGTCATCTAGTCCAACACGCTTTCTGTGAATGGAGAGACAGGAGAGGTGAATTGCCAGGTTATTTCCTGGGAATCACAACGTTATGACAATAAGTGCTAATTTTCAATTTTTTTTAAAGCATCGGAATCTGTGTTAAAACACATTTCCTGGAATCCTCATGATAAGTGCAGCTTCCTTGAAGCCAAGCACCCCTTCCCTTCATTTGTTTCCTTTTCCCATCTGCGCAGAACCCCTTGTTTCTCAGAAACAAAAATTGAAAACCAGTGATCTAGTCCAGTTCTCTCATCGCCCTGAGAGGGATCCCGAAGCCCGGGAAGTGCAGGGTGTCTACTCTAAGACCCTTTGACTTGCCTTGCAGGAGTCCGCTGTGGAAGGCACATCACATCCCACGGCCTGGCTCTCAACTGCTCGACGGACCTCACATGGTTTGAGCACATCGTGCCCTGCGGGCTGGTTGGGACAGGTGTCACTTCCTTGAGTAAGGAGCTCCAGACGCACATCACTGTGGATGAAATAATGCCACCCTTCCTTGTGGCCTTTAAGGAGATCTACAAGTGCACACTGATCTCAGAGGACAGCCCCAGCTGAAGAGCACTCATAACAGCCAGGATGGTCCTGCCTTGGCAAGCACCAAGTCTGACTTGAGTCACCTACTGAAACCCAGATTTTAGACCTGGCCTGTCATTCACTGATGATGAAACAAAGGACAAATCATGAGCCCTGAGCCACTGTTTTCATATGTATCCTGTTTTATTTATGGCTCCCCTCCCCCCAGAAATACTTGATGTGAAAACAATGTGAAAACAATGTGAAAAGCAACACACACTGTGTAAAATATTAGTACTACTGTTGACAGCAGTGTCCCAGAGAAATTCAGATGTCATAGATGATTGTCATTTCTCAATTGTTACTTCCTCAATACTATGTCTAACTGGGCAATTCTGGGCTCTAGTTCCTTTGGTTTTGTGGGAATCAAATCTGAAAGGCCCAGGAGAAGGTGATGTGATGTAGTGCTTTTTCATTCTCAAGAGACCTGGGTTCTTTCTGCAATAAAGGGAAACGGGAAGAACCTTCAAAGAATAAAATGGGATCTTGTTTTCCTGGGTTTGACTCCTCAAGTTTGATAATTTAACAGTTTTTAGTTGGGTTACTCTGAACTAGGCCCAAGACTGGAGGAAGGACAAGAACAATTTCTCATACTGTACAAATGCCAAAGATAGAAGGGAGTTTTCCTTACGAGACCTCTAAGTTTGTAAGCCTGCAAGCCTGCGTATTATCTGTCGCTGTGTGACTTAAAACAACAGTAAACATTGATTATCTCATTGTTTGTGGGTCAGGAATTTGGGGGAAGCTTAGCTGGGTGTTTCTAGGTTGGAGTCTCCCACGAACTTGCAGTTAAGATGTCAGCTGGAACTGCAGTCATTCAAAGGATTGGCTGGGCTGGAGGGTCAGCTCCCTATATGGTGCACTCACATGCCTGGTTGGTTACGGTTGTTGACAGGAGGCCTCAGTTCCTCACCATGAGGACCTTTCTATAGGGATGCTTGATTGTTTTCATGACAGGGCAACTGGCTTTCCCCACAACAAGTCACACCAAAGACAGACAAACTGGAAGCCATAATGTCTTTGATGACCCAGCCTCAGAAGTCACACAGTCATTTCTGTAGTCTTCTAACAGATGAGCCCTGTTCAGTGTGGAAGGGACTTCACTAGGGTGACAAGAGGTGAGGATTATTACGGACCATCTTGAAGAATGGCTATTAACAACGTATCAAGAGTGGAAAGAACTTTGAGAAGGCAGGGGACCTTGTTTCCAGTTCTGCTTCTGTGGAAAAGTTGTTTTCTCTCTGGTCTTCAGTTTTCCCTTAAACCAGTGCTGTTTGATAGAAATATAAGGCAAGCCACATTGTAATTTGACATTTTTTAGGATCCATGCTAAAAAGGTAAAAGAAATGGATGATGTTAATTTTTCTATTTTTTTTTTTTTTTTAGAAATGGGGTCTCACTATGTTTCCCAGGATGGTCTCAAACTCCTGGGCTCAAGAGATCCTTCTGCCTCAGCCTCACAAAGTGCTGGGACTACAGGTTGGTCTATAATGTTGGACTATGCCTGGTCTATAATGTTAATTTTAATTAACCTAATATACAAAAATGTCAATATAAAGCAATATAAATGTTTCCTTGAGAGATTTCACATTTTTTTCCTCATGCTGAGTCTTCAAAATTTAGTGTGTATTTTACACTTATAGCACACCTCATTTTGGACTAGCTGTGTTTTAAAAGTGCTCGTTGGTCATATGAGAATGGTGCCTTAGACCAACCAGTCTCACATCTAAAGTCCTTTCGAGTTCCCAGGGTTCTGTGGTCTCACTGGCTTCTAGGAAGAAAGGTGAATCCTCCTACATCTGAGGTCTGATTTTTTAATGCAAATAATTTATATCAATTATTCAAGCTGAAAAGGACTTTTGAGTCCTCATTGTAAAGAGATGAAACCACAGCTTAGGAAAAAAACCTTCTCAAAGTCAAAGTAAATTAATGCCAAAGCCAGCACTGAGTCTTAGTTATAATCCTCTTTCTCATGCTCTTTTCCTGCTGTGCACACTGATTTAGAGCTTGGAACAACATGGTTTATGTGCCATGGCCATTCCATCAATATTAGTTGCGTGATGGTTGTAATTTGGTCCATATTCTTCCTGGGCATTAGTTTTCCATCCACAGGGCCACTGCTGCTATGAGGGGGTGGGAATGAGGAGTCGTTGATAATTACATTGTGTTATTACTGCCAAAAAGGAAAATAATTATTCTAGGAGATGTGGAGTTAGATTCTCATAGAAGGCCTTGCACAGTGTTTCTACCTGTCTGGTACTCAGCCTCCCTCTCTAGTCACCCTAACAATTGACCATACAACTTGTTCTTGAATGCTTCCACAGACTGGAAAAGAAATAGGCACGTACTCAGCACTTATTTATAATGCCACATACTGTCATACTGTGTTAACCTCTTAAGTACATGCTCTCCTCTGACAGCCTGTTCTATTTTTCTGGAGCATAGAGAATCTGTACACAGTTGTAATGGCTAATTCACTTAACTTTCCTGAACCTCAGTTTCATTACATGAAACAAGGATAGTGGTAAAAATTAGGTGACATAATTATAGGTAAAGCATTGAGGGTATTGTGGGCACAGAGTGAAAGCTCAGTAAACCTTATCATTACCATCTGTCTTCCATGAGCCTTCTCCAGGGAAATTACCATCTGTCCTCCATGAGCCTTCTCCAGGGAAATTATCCTAGATCCTTTGAGTTCCTCTCAAGGCAATAGGCTCTGCAGGAGTAGAGCCGCTTCTGTCTTGTTTTCTTCTGCATCTCCAGCACGTAGCACTGGGCTTGACATACAGAAGGCTATTTGAAAATATTAAGGGGAATTGAACTATTTAAAGTCTCCTCCCATCCTGCCCACCTGCCTGTGCACCAACCCCAGCTCATGTGTATCCCTTTAGGTGCAGTGCTCATGGCTGAAGATAGCAGTCTTGCTGTGGACAGACCAACACAGAGCCCAGGAAACTGTTGCTCCCTGTGCTGGATTTGGGGGACATAAACTGGCCCTCATGGTGCTGACCTGCAGACGTGTTGTCTTTGCCTTATGGGATTTTATATATGTGTGTATGTATCTGGTTAAGTTTAATAATTGCCAACATTTAAAAAATGGGAAATTGTCATGTAAAAATTCGGTTTTCTGGCTTCTCATGAAAATTGGAGAGATCTAGAAACATTGGGCCATCTGCCTGACAATTGGAAGCAGGTATGGTGGGTTTGTTGTTTTTTGTTTTGTTTTGTGATAGAGTCTCACTGTCGCCCAGGCTGGAGTTCAGTTGCGCGATCTTGGCTTAATGCAAACTCCGCCTCCCAGGTTCAAGTCATTCTCCTGTCTCAGCCTCTCAAGTAGCTGGGATTACAGGCATTCGCCACCATGCCCAGCTAATTTTTGTGTTTTTAGTAAAGATGGGGTTTCACCATGTTGGCCAGGCTGGTCTTGAACTCCTGACCTCAAGTGATCCACCTTCCTTGGCCTCCCACAGTGCTGGGATTACAGGCATGAGCCACCGTACCCGGCCAGACGCAGGTATGTTTTTAAAATTGCATTTTCCAGTTAGCTGAAACACCTCTCTTCCCTTCCCCACTTGTTAACATTAGCTTCCTGGTCCCTGTAGGCATTTGAGTTGGTGACCCCTAATCTAGACATTCCTTTGTTCTGAGACACAGCAGACTCTCAGTGGACCCATCATAACACTGGTTTTATACCATGGTCATGGGGAGCCCTTTAAGAAAGGGCCATGATTTATTCATTCCTGTGTCCCTGGCCCTTAATTCAGGGCCTAGCACAGAATAGGCAGAAGAAAATGTATGATAGTTTCTTTATCAAATATTTCCAGCTCTCTGCTTTCTTGACACACGGCAGGATTGTGCTTTGTGGCCCCCACATGGACGAGTAGGGCAAAGGTTAACTTTTCCTGGTTAATTTATGAATGGAGGTGGCCTGTCACTTCTGAGCTGGAGCATTGACTGGCTGGTGCCAGGCCCTTCAGAGTTTCTGGATCAGTGATCAACAACATTGAAGATGGTGGCTGCTTCCTGAGGGCTGCAATGAGCAGAGCCCTCTGACGATGGACATGCAGTGGAGTTCAGCCACTTAAATGTCATAGCACAACCTAGCCTGCTATAACCAATGTAATTGTTTATATTAATCAGAACTCTTATATTTGCAAGTGTATAAACCCAATTCTAACATAAGCCTTAAAAAAAAAAGAAGAAGAGTGGGGGTTGTTGAAAAAGGTATTGGATGAAGTCTCATAGAATCTAAGAGTAAGGCAGCAGCTGGGCTCAAGAACAGAAGCAGAGTTTGAAGCCCTCTAGGAACCCAGGTAGTCTTTTCCACCCCACTCTCTGTCATGCTTTGGGCATGTGTTTGCTTCATTTTGTCTTGTTTCAGTCCAGCTTTCTCTATTTCCCAGGCCACATGGTGGAAAATGGCTGCTATAGCTCCTGCCACTGCTGCTCCTATCCATGAATGTCGGGGTAGAGTCAAGGTTTCTTGCCTGAGCAGCTGGGTGGATGGATGCTAAAGATACTGCTGTGATGGCGAACACCAGATAAGGACCAAGTTTGGTGAGGAAGATGATGAGTTCAGATTTTGATAAATCAAGTTAGAGATACTCATGGGAGAGGCAAGCAGAGAGAGCCAAGAGGCAATTGTGTCTGGAGCATGAGTGGGATGAGTGAAGGTTTAGGTGTAGAGCTCTAAGAGAGCGGAGAGCAGAGGACCGATAAGTGTGATAAGGAGAGGACTGGTAAGTGTGAGGCTGTGTGAGGCACAGGCTGGCATGGAGGAATGGGCCAAGAAGACTGAGAAGGAGAGAAGAAGTGGTGCAGAGCCACACAATGGGGCAACATGACTGTCTCATCCTCTGGCAGTCTCTTCCTCTGGCAACTCAGCAAGATAGGCAAAGTTATTTTATGAATGAGAAAACCAAGGCTCTGAGAGGCCAAGTGCCATGTGAGAGGTCATGTTGTTGATAAGGGAAGGGTGAGGCCTGCTGGAGGAGCCCCCAGTAACAGGTGGTGTGGGGGTAGGCAAAGCGGGAGGATACAGAACAGGAGGCCAGAGTTAGGCTGAGGTCTAGCTGTGGCATCAGGTCAGGCTACTGCTGCAGGTTCCTGGTTCTCCTTCCTGCTTGGACAGATCCCACCTCCGGTTTCCCACTGGAGCCCTTCCTTAAGAAAGGAAGCTGAGTGTATGAAGGAGGATATTTAACACCCTGGTTTTCCTCCTTCAAAAAAGCCTCTTCTTGTTTGTTCAGAGTCTTCTCCTCAAAATAAACAGTTGTTCAGAGTCTGGCGAATGAGTGCTGACAGTGAGGACGTGACCAGCTGCAGTTACTGGTCCAGCGTCTTGTTCCCCCAGTGAGGCTGGCAGGAAACTGAACAGAGCCAGCTCTGGCAGCGTGACCCTGTGTCAGGCACCTCGCTTTGTGTAAAAGTCTCTCTCTGAAAACTCCCAGGAAGTCAGATATTTGTAATCTAAATCTGATTATTTTTAACCAAATTGTC